AAAAGATAAAGATAGAAAGGGAAAGAGAAAAAAAGGAGGAGGAAGGAGACAGGAAGAGAGAAAGAAGAAAGGGAGAGGGAAAAAGAAGGGGAAAGGAAAGAAAAAGAGAGAGAGAAAAGAGAGGAAGGGAGAGGAAGAAGGGAGAGAGAAAGAAAATAAAAAGAAAAGAGAGGGAGAAAGGAAGGAAGAGGGAGGGAAGGGGAGAAAAAAGGAAGGCAGGAGAAACGAAAAAAAGATAAAGATAGAAAGGGAAAGAGGAAAAAAGGAGGAGGAAGGCGACAGGAAGAGAGAAAGAAGAAAGGAAAGAGAAAAAGTGAAAGGGAGAGAGAGGAAGAAGGGAGAGAGAGAAAGAAATGAAAAGAGAGAGAGAGAAAGGAAGGAAGAGGGAGGGAGGGAAGGGGAAAAAAAGAAGGCAGGAAAGAGCAAAAAAGAAAAGGCGAGAGAAAAAAGGGAGAGGAAGGAGAGAGGAAGAGAGAGAAAGAAAAAAGAGGATGAAACAAGGAGAAAGGGAAGAAGGGAAGAGAGAACTCTTAATCGGGGAGTGGACTCCCTCTCTCCTCTCTCTTTCTCTCTCTCTCTCTCTCTCTTTCTTTGCCAAAGCCTCCAGTTCTTGATCGCTCGGCCAGGAGCGATTTCTTAATCAAAATCATTGGCTCCGATTCGTTTCCCCACCAATGCCTTTAATCTTCGAAACAAAAAAAATGCGGGCTGGAAATGCAGTTGGTGTTCCTCTTCCCGAATGCCTTCTGCAGAAAAAGCTCCGTGGATGCACATGAATTGCACTCTCCCAAATAAGAGCTCGGGATGGCTTTCAAGAAGTGCCATTATAGCGACTTTGATGAACTGCAATGGATCGCCTTGAAAAGCCATCAGTGCACGTCATCCTTCGGCTTCTAGTAGGGCCTTCATTGCTGAACAGGCTTATCCAAAAGTTAACTGGGTGTCTGGAGCTTTTACGATCCCTCTCCGAGCACTAAAAAACAGAAATAATATCCAAAGGGCCTCGTAATAAGTACCTCTGGAGATTTCCAACAGATCTTTGCGGCTTATTAACCTGGGCTAATAAGAGACATGGTGTTCCAGCTAGGAGGTAGCAGGATATCTCTCCACACAGCAGAAATTGGATTAAATGGGATGTATGGGGAACCAGCAAGGAGTCAGAAAAGCCGGGCTTTTCCTAAGAGTAAAATAGCATTATTATTATTTTTTAGAGCCAGATTTAATATCCTCCCCTCGGCGCTCCTGCGGGGCAGATGATAAAAACCCCAAAAGCTAAGCGAAGGGGTACATGTGGCAATGGGGAAGCTGAAGGTATCCCACAAGTCCGATTGCACTGCAAGTCAACATCGGATCGATGTCCGTTCTCCCTCTATTAGAGAGACTCTTAGGGATAGCAAATATGTCTCCATCTTCTTCAGGATCCAAATCCAGCTGCTGCTTGTCCAGTAGCAAAACGTCGTGCCGCTGGAACGAGGGCAAAACACCTATAAAGAACGAAAGAGGCTTATTTTGTATGATTTGCCTTCACTTAGCTATTTTTCCCAATCAATTCTAGAGAATGTATTTATTTTATGATGAGCCGTGGTGGCGCAGTGGTTAGAATAGGGTACTGCAGGCTACTTCTGCTGACTGCCGGCTGACTGCAGTTTATCAGCTCGAATCTCACCAGGCTCAAGGTCGACTCAGCCTTCCATCCTTCCGAGATTGGTAAAATGAGGACCCAGATTGTTGGGGGCAAGAGGCTGACTCTGTAAACCACTTAGAGAGGGCTGTAAAAGCACTGTGAAGCGGTATATAAGTCTAAGGCCTAAGGGCGATTAAGAATTGTGGTGGCACAGGGGTTAGAATGAAGAATAGCAGGCAATTCTGCCCACTGCCAGGAGTTCGATCCTGACTGGCTCAAGGTTGACTCAGCCTTCCGTCCTTCCGAGGTGGGTAAAATGAGGACCCAGATTGTTGGGGTTTGCAAGAGTCTGACTCTGTAAACCTCTTAGAGAGGGCTGTAAAAGCACTGTGAAGCGGTCTATAAGTCTAAGGGCTTTTGCTGTTCTATCCTTTCACAAGGTCCTGAAGGCGTGGATTTGCCAACAGAACCCAGAGTGGGATGGAGCCGATCAAGTGGCTTATCTGATTGATTGTTGTCACCACTGGGGTGGGGATTATTGTTTTATTATTTTAAAGCCTTAGGCCAGTTTTTCCAGTGCTGTTCTAACTTCAGGCGAGTCACTATGATTGTAAATCAAGAATTATTATGTTACTAGCTCTGTACCCGTGCTTTGCTACGAAACTATGTGGTGGGGCTTAGTTCTTGAGGGGGGGAACAAATTCTGCCTCTGCCTACCAGCATCCATCGGTATTCATCTGGCTAGCGTCCTGTCAGTGTGTGAGAGAGTTGAGGGCTGTTTGGAAACTGAAACAGTATTTGCTGTGTGAGCATGAAGGAGACAGCAAGGAGCCTGGGCATGGCTTAGCTCAACTGTTCTGTACTAAAGCTGCTTGATGCTGTGAAACCAAAACGGAAACTCCTCTCCTCTGCTTGTGTTTTGCATTTGGAACAGATTTCTTTTCAGGTGGGCAGGGGGAGTCAAACTCCTTAGCATCAGAGCATGTTAATAATAATAATATAGGAAATACTAAATGCTCTGATGGTCATTTGGAAAAATCCTTTCTTAGTGAGCCCCTAGAAGCCAAGAGGAACATAGGTGCCAAATTTCAAGTTTGTAGACGTTACGGTTTTTGAGATTTTGTGATGATGCGTGAGCGGCATTTCGCTTTTATATATATATATATATAGATAAGATTCATGACCAGCCTCTGAAGTGACCTTTCTCATCCACCTCTTCCCCTTCTGCCTTCCTGCACAGAAACTCCTTGGAAATTCTCTCTTGAAGCTGGAAGGAGAAGACCGGTTGGATATCAACTGCACTTTACCCTTCAGCGATCAGGTAAGGGGTCTCTGGCTTCAGCTCACTTTGTGGCTCCTGAACAGAGAAGCCCATTTTAAGTTTTGAATAACTGGCAAATTTATTTATGTATTCCATTTGCCTGCTGCCCCTCTCTGGCCAACAGCTGAGTCTAAAAGCCATTGTGGCACAGTGGTTAGAATGCAGTACTCTAGGCTGCTTCTGCTGGCTGCCGGCTGCCTGCAATTCGGCAGTTCGAATCCCACCAGACTCACGGTTGACTCAGCCTACCCTCCTTCCAAGGTCGGTAAAATGAGGACTCAAGATTGTTGGGGGCAAATAGTCTGACTCTGGAAACCACTTAGAGAGGGCTGTAAAGCCCTGTAAAGTAATATATAAGTTTAAGGGCTATTGCTAGGAGACTAACTAAAGATAACAAGAAAAATATCAAAATAACGACTACTTAACGTTAAAATGGACTCCGATTTTAAGTACAGAGAGTCCTCAACTCGCAACTACAATGGAGCCCAATCTTTAGGTTGTTAAGTGAGACATTTGTTTAGCGACTTTTGCCCCCCGTTTGATGATTCTGGATCATCCAAATTTGGATCATGGGACCATGGGGGATGCTGTAGCGGTCGTAAGTGGGAACAACGCTTATCAAGTCTTTTTTTCCCCAGTGCTGTTGTAACTTCGGACGGTCACTAAATGAACTGTTGTAAGCTGAGGGCTACCTGTAGGCCCGTGATGGTGAACCTATGGCACGCAGAGCCATTTGTGTGGGCACGCGAGCCCCAAGCGAAACTTACCTGCACTGCGCACGCATGCGCCTCCCAGTTGGATTTTCGGCCCGTTTGAGGCCTTTTTCGGCCTCCTTGAGGCTCGAGGGAAGCCTCTGCAGCCTCAGGAGGCTGAAAAACGGGCCTTCTGGAAATACCGGAAGTGCCGAAACGGGCCCTTTTTTCGGCCTTCCGAGGGTGCAGAGGCTTCCCTCGAGCCTCAGGGAGGCCGAAAATGACCTCAAACGGGCCAAAAATCGGCTGGGAGGCACACACATGTGAGGGGGCATGGCAGGTGAGGGGGCGTGGCAGTTGCACACGCATGTGAAGGGTGGGCAGGGTACATTGCATTGTGGGTGCTGGCATGGGCGCACTTTCGGCACACCGCAACAAAAAGGTTCGCCATCCCTGTTGTAGGCCTTTGTCAAAATAGCCCAACTTCCTTGTTGTGTGTGTCAAAGCCAGATGGTCCCCAAACTTGGCAGCTTTTTTAAGACTTGTGGACTTCAACTCCCAGAATTCCTCAGCCAGCATACTGGCTGGAGAATTCTGGGAGTCGAAGTCCACAAGTCTTAAAAGTTGCCGTGTTTGGGGATCTCTGGTCAAAGCGTTTTTTTGCGTTTTCCTTTTGAGCCGCCCAGTGGCCTCCTCTCTATGCCTTTGATTGACGCAGGGATGTGTCAATCCTGTTGGACAGGTGGTCCTGGTGGGGGCCGAGGAAGGACTTTACGCCCTGAACGTGCTAAAAAATTCCTTAACGCATGTGCCCGGGATTGGAGCCGTCTTTCAAATCCACCTCATCAAGGACCTGGAGAAGCTGCTCATGATTTCAGGTAAGGAAGACGTCAGAAACGGCACCTTGGCTTTACGCGCACAAGAAACTATCTCTCTGCTCCCTCCCTTGTGCTGCTTGAAATCAAGGACAACCCGCAAGAACTTTTGAATCTGTGCCCTTACTTTCAGATCGATCTGAACCATGAGGGCTAGAAACTTGCTTTTCGAAAACACTGGCTCCTGGGACTCATGTCTGTTGGCTCTCCAGGCAATTATTTTATGCGTGCTGTCTTCAACAGCCTAGAATAATTTTATTTGTTCACACACACACACACACACACAGACACCACCCACCTCACTATCAAGTGGCTGTTCCTTTTTATTCTGCGGGCCAGAATTGAAGGTGTGTGTTTTGTTGCCCTCCGAGGATTCGAACTCATCCTCTACGTATAGGGGAAGGAGTGGCAGAACCTAGGGTGGAGTTAAAAGAGGGGTCAGCCTGGAATCCCTACGTAGCCACAAAGGAGTTAAGTCCAACCTCCCTTGACTGCTCTTCATGCTGTAGCCATTTCATGCCAAAACAACCAGACATGAGTCCCCCCCCCCCCATGACATCTCTCTGCTAAACAACCAATTCCCATGATACTGTCTATGCTCTAGGACCGTGATGGCGAACCTATGGCACGCATGCCACAAGTGGTACGCAGAGCCATTTGTGCTGGCACGTGAGCCGCAGATAAACTTACTTCACTGCGCATGCGCGCATCTCACAGTTGATTTTTTTTTCGGTTGGTTTGAGGCCTTTTTTGGCCTCGCAGAGGCTTGGGAAAAAAAGCCTCTGCAAGGCTTTTCAGGACGATAGGCCCGTTTCGTCACTTCCTGTAATACTGGAAGTGACAAAACGGTCCTATAATTCGTCCTGAAAAGCCTTGCAGAGGCTTTTTTCCCCAAGCCTCTGGGAGGCCGAAAAAGGCCTCAAACCAACCGAAAGATCAGCTGTGAGGTGTAGTGCAGGTAAAGGGGTGGCTGGGGGAATTGTGCAGTGGGGGGGCGCATTGTATTCTGGGTGCTGGCATGCAGGGCGTGCAATTTTGGGCACAGAAGCCCAAAAAGGTTAGCACCACTGCTCTAGGACGTCAAGCCACCTGATTATCTCTCTCATCTTTTCATCTTTCCTATTTCCTTAGCTTCTGATGACTATAACTGGGTTGTTTGTATCTCATGATTTATGTAGGTTGTCTTTAATTTAGGATCCTATTACAATTTTTGTTGTTTGCGCACTTAGTATCCTATGACCATCACTGCATGCTGTAGGTTACGCTTTATGACGATGGTACCTTCTGATCACGGTCATGATTTACCACTTGTTGCTTGTGTGCACACTGAGAGCTTAAGCACCGGAGACAAATCCCCTGTGTCTCCAATCACACTCAGCCAATAAAGGAATTCTATCTCTCCGTGGCATGGTTTCCCCAGGAGACGAAAGGGCGTTGTGCCTTGTGGATGTGAAAAAAGTGAAGCAGTCCCTCGCTCAGTCCCACCTCCCAGCTCAACCTGATGTCTCCCCCAATATTTTTGAGGCTGTGAAAGGCTGCCATCTTTTTGCGGCTGGCAAGGTAAGTAGTAATTAAGTAAGTAACCCTCCATGCTCTCAGTCATTCACGGAACAATGCGTGGACACAAATGAAAATAGTTGGACGAGCAGGAGCAAAAACGGTCAGTTACTAAGATTGTTGGATGAGCAGGCACAAAAACAGCCAGTTACTAAGATAGTTGGACGAGCAGGCACAAAAACGGCCAGTTACTAAGATTGTTGGACGAGCAGGAGCAAAAACGGTCAGTTACTAAGATTGTTGGATGAGCAGGCACAAAAACGGCCAGTTACTAAGATAGTTGGACGAGCAGATACAAAAAAGAGTCGTACATGTGAAAAATGGTCCTAAGTCACTTTTTTCAGTGCCATCAGAACTTCAAACAGTCACTAAATGAACTGTTGTAAGTCGAGGACTACCTGTATCTCCCTAATGTGAGGCCAAGCAAGTAAGCAAGCAGGCCTGGCCCCAGCCCTCAAAGACAGACCCTGACTTACAAACTTTCATTCCGTGTAAGCAAATGACTGTTACTGACGTGTTTGGCCTCTTATTGATTGAATCCGATCCCCGGCATTGCCAGCCTCTTTCCCATATAGGCGCTTCTGTTGGCTTCCTTTGACAGATCGACAACGGGTTGTGCATCTGCGCGGCCATGCCCAGCAAAGTCGTGGTGTTGCGTTACAACGAGAGCCTCAGCAAGTACTGCATCAGGAAGGTAAAGGGACTTCTGGGTCCGTGGATGCCCAACCATGTCTCCAGTGAAAGGCTGGTGGCACCTCCATTAGATTCATTGAATTGGACCACGTCTCCTTCTCTTTAACCTGCCTGCTGTCAACTCATAAAACATTCCTATGCCTGTTTTAATAGTTGCCATTAAAAAAAGAAGGGGGGGGGGGGAGGAAGGAAATCTGGAAGAGCCGTGCAGCGGTTTGGAAGCGAAAGTACATTCCAAGTCTTTATCTTTAAAAGACTGTAACTAAACTACCAGAGCTTCAGCCGGGAAGGGTTTTTTTCTCCCATGAAGGGAGAACTTTGCTGACTGAGCTTGTGCACATTGTTGGTTTTTTGTTTGTTTTTTTGTTTTGCTCTCGCAGGAGATCGAAACCTCGGAACCCTGCAGCTGTATCCATTTCACCAATTACAGCATCATCGTGGGGACCAATAAGTTCTACGAAATTGAGATGAAGCAGTACACCCTAGAAGGTAGGAATCCCTTCTTGACGGCCTGCTTTGGAGGGAGAGCATTCAAAAGGCTGTGGGGGTAGGGGCGATGGTTCAGGCCTTAGCAATAGCAGTCTCCCTTAGACTTATAGACCGCTTTACAGCCCCTCTCTAAGCGCTTTGCAGAGTCAGCCTCTTGCTCCCAACCACCTGGGTCCTCATTTCACCCACCGTGGAAGGACGGAAGGCTGAGTCAACCTTGAGCCTGCAGAGATTCGAACTGCAGGCAGAGTTTTCCTGCAATGCTGCTTTCTAACCACTGCGCACGAAGGGAGGGAGGGAAGGAATGAAAGAACGAAGGAAGGAGAAAAGGAAGAACAATAGCAGAGAAGGAGGAGAAGGAAGGAAGGAAGACCAATGGCAATAGCCCTTAGACTTATACAGCTTCCAGGTGCTTCCCAGCCTCCTCTAAGCGGTTTACAGAGTCAGCCTCTTGCCCCCAACAATCTGGGTCCTCATTTACTGACTTCGGAAGAATGGAAGGCTGAGTCCACCATGAGCTGGTCAGGATCAAACTGCTGGCAGTGGGCAGAGTTTGCCTGCAATGCTGCTTTCTAACCACTGCTCACGAAGGGAGGAAGGGAAGGAACGAAGGAAGGAAAGAGAAAAGGAAGAACAATAGCAGAGAAGGAGGGGAAGGAAGGAAGGAAGGAAGGAAGGAAGGAAGGAAGGAAGGAAGGAAGGAAGGAAGGAAGGAAGGAGAAAAGGAAAAACTGCAATGCTGTATTCTAACCACTGTGCACGAAGGGAGGAAGGGAAGGAACGAAGGAAGGAAAGAGAAAAGGAAGAGCAATTGCAGGGAGGGAGGGGAAGGAAGGAAGGACAATAGCAATAGCACTTAGACTTATATACCGCTTTATAGTGCTTTACAGCCTTCTGTAAGCAGTTTGCAGAGTCAGCCTCTTGCCCCCAACAATCTGGGTCCTCGATTGACCCACCTCGAAAGGATTGAGTCAACCTTGAGCCAGGTTAGGATCGAACTCCTGGCAGTGGGCAGAGTCGGCCTGCAATGCTCCGTTCCAGCCTCTGCGCCACCGCAGCTCTTTGGTGTAGGTTTCCAGGCAACGTCCGGCTTTCACCAAGGCTGAAATGTGTCGTTTTAGAATTCCTGGATAAGAATGACCACACCTTGGCATCCGCTGTCCTTGCATCTTCCAACAATAGTTTCCCAATCAGCATCATCCAGGTGAACCCAGCAGGGCAGAGGGAAGAGTATCTGCTTTGCTTCCATGGTAAGTTGATATGAGAGATGGTGGACGGGAAGCAGGGAGCTGGTGTAATAGACTGGGGTGGAGTGGAGTGGAATGGAATGGAATGGAATATATGGAATTGAGTGGAGTGGAATGGAGTGAAATGGAATGGAATATACGGAGGTGAGTGGGGTGGGGTGGATTAGGAATAAGAATGGAGTGGAGTGGAATGGAATGGAATTAAATGTGTGGAGTGGAATGGAATTGAAAGGAATATATGGAATGGAGTGGAGTGGAGTGGAATGGAAGGTATGGAATAAAGTGGAATGAAGTGGAGTGGAATTGAATGGAATATATGGAGTGGAATGTATGCAGTGAAGTGGAGTTGAATTGAGTGCAATGAAGTGGAGTGGAATAGAAATAGGAATGAAATGTGGAAGTGGAGTGGAATTGAGCGGAATGGATGGAATGGAATGGAGTGGAGTGGAATGGAATAGCTTTATTGGCCAAGTGTGATTGGACACACAAGGAATTTGCTTCTGCAATCATGTCTCCCCTAGTCCTGTGGTTTTTCCCCCCCATTAAACTAGTCAACATCCAATTTCTGCAACCGTTCTTTGTAAGTTTTAGCCTCCGCTCCCCTAAACATCTTCGTTGCTCTTCTCTTTTTAGTGGGGGGGAGGGGGGAGAGAAATTTCCCATCTTGAGAATTTACTAATTGCTGGCTTAAGGACAATTGGATTTCGGGACTCTTGGCAGACAGTATTTCTTTCTTTCTTAAATATCCCACTTCAATTACAGTATTATTATTATTTTTTCCAACTTCCTTGCAGAATTTGGGATTTTTGTAGACTCCTATGGAAGGCGCAGCCGCTCAGACGACCTGAAATGGAGCCGCCTGCCTTTGGCATTTGGTGAATATAGGATTTATCTCTGACTTCCTTGCTCGGCACGGAGCTCATTGTGGTATTTTTTTGGAATGCGGAGGGTTGGAAAATTACTCCAGGAAAATTCATATCCTTCAGAGATTTAGCTTTTAAAAAAATACAGGTAATCCTTGACTTAGGACCATAATTCAGGCCCCAAAAGATCTGTTGATAAATGGGATGTTTGTTGAGCTTTGCCCCATTTCAGGACATTTCTTGACACCGTTGTTAAGTGAACACACTGCGGTTGTTAAGTTAGTAACACGGTTGTTAAGTGCTCCCCCGTTGATTCCGCTTGCCAGTTGGTCACAAAAGGGGATCCCATGATCCCAGGATGCTGAGTTAGTTGCCAAGGGTGTCTGGATTTTGGTCACGTGACCTTAGGGATGCTCCAATGGTCATAAGTGTGAAAAACGGACGTAAGTTCGCTTTTTGGGGGGGGCATTGTAGCATTGAATGGTCACTAAGTCCAGGACTGCGTGCCTTGGCAAAGCTACACAAGGAAAAAAGAATCTAATAAAAATTACCTTTCCCATTCTAGCATCTCTTGTAGGTATGTAGGTCAGTTTTTCTCAACGTTCAGTGTTCTAACCTAGACCTTCCCAAGATCATGAAACCATCCCGATAAAACCCCTTTTATTTAGGTTAAAAGGAATTCCTCTCCAGCTAAGTCCCAGCCAACAGTCCTTCGAGAGAGTTCACAATTACAGATCTTTATCAGGCTTGGAGAGTTGCCAGGCCGATAGATTCCAAACGCCACGCTGTAGGAACAGATCTTCACCCTCATGAATTAAACGAATTGTCTCCTGCAAGCACCACTCCCCTTTCGCTCCTCTTTATTCCCTATGGAAGGAGCCATTCACCGTCCACCTGTGCCCTTACTCCCAAGTTGAGTGTTTCTTAACTCTTCTGGCAGCTCTGTGCATGCGCACACTAGGAACAGGCTCCAGCTGCTCTTCTTCCCCACTGATCTCCGACTCCAAACGCAGCTGATAACTGTCAGACGGCCCTGGCCTCGTCTCTGCCTCCGACGCAGAGCCCTCGTCAGAGCCTTTCCCAGACTCCAGGACTGGCCCATGTTCCCCCCCCCCCTTCAAACCTCCTCACTGTCCAAGTCTGCTGCCAGCTCCGCTGGCCGCTGGGTGGGCCATAACAGCCAGACATTTTAAAATTTAACTTGGATTCGGACAGAAACAGTCTGTCCCCCTGATGACTTTCTCTAACCTGGCTTCTCTCTTTCTGGGCACGGCCACAGCCTATCGGGAACCATACCTGTTTGTGACTCACTTCAACTCCCTGGAGGTGATAGAAATTCAAGTACGCGCCTCTCTCGGGTAAGTCAGCCAAGCATCAAATGGCTCCTAAGCCTTGAGGACAAGATTTGTCCCACGCATACCCACCCACCCCCATCTAAAGAGTATCTTTCTTTCCTCCCCGGCTGCCAGCATCCCAGCCCGAGCCCACCTGGACATCCCGAGCCCTCGTTACCTGGGCCCGGCCATCTCCTCCGGAGCCATTTACCTGGCCTCTTCCTACCAGGACAAACTGAGAGTCATTTGCTGCAAAGGGAATTTGGTGAAAGAATCCAACAACGAGCATCATCGGGGCTCTTCCACCACCCGCAGGTAAGAAGCGGCATTCCAGCTTCGAGGGAGAATCCGGGATGCCTTCTAGCTAAAAGGTGGGGGGCTTGAGAGGGGCTCTGCAATTGGGCAGGTGGGATGGGAAGGGGGCATGGCAGGGATCGGGGAAGCACCTGTCTTTGGGTGTCCCAAAGCGGCTTTCTCAGGAGGCCACTGGACTTCGTTTCTTTCTTGTGAAGACGTTTTGCTTCCCATCCAAGAAGCTTCTTCAGCTCTGACAGGATAGTGGGGGATGGAAGGATTTATATTCCTGGCAGACAGCTGGTCATTTGCATCCTTTTAGAGGGTCGTTGAGACCACGTGGAGGTTTATAGCCATATCTGTTGCTATAAAATTTGGGATGAACACCCTTTGAACAAAGGAAAAAAATTGCAGACTACAGGGACCCCAGAGCATTATTAAGGGTGACTCTGAGGACACAGATAAAACCTCCAAGTGGCCTCAACGACCCTCTAAAAGGATGCAAATGACCAACTGTCTGCAAGGAACATAATAAATTCTTCCATTCCTCACCATCCAGTCAGAGCTGAAGAAGCTTTTCGGATGAGAAGTGAAAGGTCTTCAAAAGAAAAGAAAAAAAAAACAAGAAAGTGCAGTGGCCCTGAAAAAAAAGGCATCTTTGGGACACCTGGATGATGGAGAATCTCTACAGATTTTTATCTTTGGGTATGCTTTGCCTTTCCCCAATTCTCCAGCGTGCACGGACAATACACGGTGCTGCAAATCGCAATCTTAACTGGACATTTCCCCTTGTCCCTTGTGTCAAGCCTGAATTTGATGAAGTGGTGGATTGGTTGATATCTGGATTATTCACATGAATTCAGTTTGACCCATTGGGAGCTGAAACGGGTGACGGGGAGAGTCGAAAGGGATGGAGCTCCAGCCAAAACAACATAGCTGGACGATGAGTCAGCTGCTTTTCCAATGGCTGCCTGGCCAGAGGAAGGAAGGAGGAGCGAAGTTGTCAGGCAGCCGTTTCACATCCTGGTTTGGAAAATGTGACCTATTGTTTTGGAAAATTGAAAAGAAGAAAAAAAAATCCTAGTTATAGCGACGTGGAAAGCCGGGAAACCTTCAGCGCTGGCTTTCCACTAGTTAGTGCCAAGGTGGTGTACCTTAATAAACTTGTTCTCTGAGGAAGCGAAATGCCTCGGAGTTTATTTTATCCTGGTTGCATTATTGGGAACCTGACTCTTTTTATTTTTTTATTTTTTGGGATGGACAGCAGCCCAAACAAGAGGGGCCCGCCCACGTATAACGAGCACATAACCAAGCGGGTAGCGTCGAGCCCGGGGCCTCCCGAAGGTCCCGGCCACCCTCGCGAGCCAAGCACACCGCACCGCTACCGAGAAGGAAGGACAGAGCTACGGAGGGACAAGTCCCCGGGACGCCCCCTGGAGAGGGAGAAATCCCCGGGAAGGGTGCTCAGCACCCGCCGAGAAAGGTCCCCCGGGAGACTGTTTGAGGAGAGCAGCAGGGGACGAATACAAGTGGGGGGCGCCCGGACCCCCCTCGCCCAGGTCAACAAGGTACGGCAGGATGGGGACACGCCTCCCCCCCCCCAATTGTGAAAAAAATAATGGTTCTCCTCCCTCCCAGGCCCCTGGGGGAAATGAGAGTCATTTTGGTGTAGTGGTTAAGATACCAGTGTAGAAACTAGGGGATGGTGAGTTCTAGTCCCGCCTTACACGTGAAAGCTGGTTGGGGGACTTTGGGCCAATCACCAGGAGA